ATTTTCATTTTGAAAGGCCTTCCAACTGGAAAAGGCTAAATAAAAACCCGCCCCCGAATTTTCATGCATTCAATTTCGAAAAATCCGACCATGTGATATAGCAAAGAGGGAAACAAATGGTATTGAAACAAGGGAGAGATAGCTGGTTCACTAGCTTCCACCTTGAATATGGTGAAAACGCCATCAGGAATCACTTGCTATTCAATCAAGTGTTTCTGATACCGCCTTTGCGGTTCAAAGACCAAGTACCCGATCAGTACCCTCCCCTATGCAGATCTTGCTCCCATCAGTCAGTCATTTGGTCCAAACTCGTCCGAGAAAGCAAAAACACTGTTTACAGTGGCAGATCACAAGAAGCGATAATGCTGTTTAAGATTTATTACCAATTATCATCTAAATGCGCGATAATTCCGCGTGAAAATCTAGCCACGGCGCATCTAAAAACGGCACCGAAAATCAGCCTTTTCTCAATTAAAACGGGTGAGGTGGTGTAAGGGCCAGCGACGCGCTATTGCACGTACAGTCCGGTGCTTCGATAACGGATCGGCTCTCGATCAAAGTAATAAAACCCTTTACCTCCCCACAGTCAGCTTATTGGTACCATACCCGTAGTGGACAGCAATTCATCCACTGGTACTTGAGTTCACCCCTGAATCATTGAATGGGAACATTGTAGGTATAATACTTATTGAAAACGTCTCTACGATTCTGAATAACAGAAGTATTCCAAAACGGAGTTGATTAATGCAACAAGACTTCATCATTTATCCTCTAACCAGTCGAGTTACGGTCATGTACTGACTACTTCCCATCCATTCGTGATACTACAGTATTCCAGCAAGTTTGAAGCTGCTGTTATTGCTTCCCAGCGGAAAAAATCGTAAGTGCATACCCGATATGCGCCGGGAATCAATATGAAGTGATACTTGTACCCCTTCAGATGTTTTACAGGTCTTCTTAGCCAACCTTAGACTACTGCCAACTGTGATTGAAGAATTCAAGAGCTATTCTGAAAGGTGCCTGGCCTTCAGCAAAGGTATTATATGCCTGAAGTAGGCATCACGTTCATCGACTATCACAAAGAGGAATGTTTTGTCTTGCAAAGTCATTCTCAAGAAAAGTTTTCGCCCCAAACAGTTCGCTTGAATTACCTCTCTCATCAAAAAAGTAATTGTTCTTCAAGAACTTAATGGTTGCCCTCACTAGAAGCATGCGCGACATGTCAGAAATAGTACCCCCTTAAACCGTCGTAACATTGATGGAGGAATTGCGGTAGGATAGGAAATCTTCGTTGTCGTTGATGTCGTTCTGATGCTCGCCTCCGAAATTTGCAGGAAGAAATGCAAGAACCACCAGGAATTTAGAGCATCAGCTGCCTACGGCAATGCTGTCGAGCTCCATCTTCTAGCTGAACAGTCCTTCAAAACACGTAAGTCGCTCAACGGACGGATGCCAGAACGTAGAAGTTTTGAACTGGTTCTTCTGCATTCCTGATCTCACGGTGGGAGAAGCTAAATCACACTGTTGAGAGATTTATGCGTCTCCAGTAGTCAATCTCGACAGTCTCTTCTTAACCTTTTTCAGTCCAGGTAAAACCTTAGCAGGCAATTCTTCAAAATCGGAACGGGATCGACGGCGTCGTGTCCCGAAACTTCCTTTACGTCACGTCATGAAGACTATTTATTAGCGCACTTACACCAGAAACAGCTAAAGTTTATTAGCTTTTTTACTTGTACCACTCTCCTTATTGAGTTGTTTATTTCCCGAATTTACTTTCGAGGGTAGAAAAGTAATTCCCTTTTGACGTTGAACTTCGTTTTACTCGACTTCCATCCAGAACCGTAGCGGAGTTCTGACCGCGAACGGGGCCTATTTAATGAACTGCGGAGATCATCTGATGTACCTGTCAATGCCCCTATTCTCCCAGACGAGGTTGGCCTAGGCCAGTATCAGTCCTAGATTCGATCCCTGATCCATACGTGTGATAGTATGCGCCGCGCTTACCACTATACCCTCTTCAAAGAAGGTAAATAGCCACGAGGCAACAATGACGTAGTAAAAATGCCACTATGACTGTTTTGGATAAGTAGTCTGCCATTCATGCTGGATAAGTTCCCATATGACAGATGGCATTCTTATAACTATGAATAACATCCTACTGTAAGTCTAATTTCAACTTCGATTTGGCTTCCTGGCAACCAGTAATGAAGGCTTCGCGAGTACTAGCTTCTGTCTTAAGTTTATTATACTTCCCTGCACTAGCTGTAGTTCAGGTGGCCCCATTATACCCCATTTGTAATTGCTTAGGTGACAAGTTACTCCGAAACGCCAGATTTCGCGTGGTGGTTCGGCTGTTACCGGGTAAGAGCTGAACAAGATGACCAATCGAATTAGAAGCACCCTCCGGCTTGGATTGTGTTTGATTTTGGGATCGAGCTCAAAGAGGGTAAGCCCGTCGAAGTGCATTACGGTTGCGGCTTACTGCACATGTTCATGTCACGGCTAATTTTTCCCACATAATTCTACTCGTAATGCCATGACATTCCTTGGATTACGTCCGTAAATGGGTGGAAGTAAGCGCTGTAAAAAAGGCACTACAAATAAGGTATATGGACAACTGCTTTATGCATTAAACCTCTGAGAACATGAGTCATGTAGGAAAATACCATGACGTGTATCACAGTCACAGTAAGTAGTGGAAACCATAGTCAAAGGGAAAGCCAAACGCTTCACAGAATCACTGGATGCCGTCAAAGTCAAAGAATAGATTTCGAAAATGCCTCCAAATCCTTTGCTGCTTTGATTTCGATGCTGTTCTGATGCTTTCAGCCTATACTGTAAAATGCAGGGACGTTTGAAAATATCGCAGGCAGGCTTTGTTCTGACGCATAGACGATAAGTCTTATAGAGAAGTCGCCTCAGAAAGAATGAGGTCAATTGAGCTGTCTGACTTTCAAGCTAGGAGAGGACCAACGGAACTATAGAGAAAGCCTTCCCTGTGAAGGATATTGAAGATCCCACTTTTGTTTATCTTTTTTCTGACATCACAACTTCCATGGACAAGGAGAGCAGGCACGGATCAAACACTACTATGTATAGGAAACCGGCAAATTTCGAACTTTCCTAATTTCTCTGTCTCCTGGGAGTAGTTCATCCGAAGAAATGCCGAGATCGGTTCCTTTTAACAAAGAGTTAGTGAGGGAGTCTAATTTTGTTCCCCAGCTAAAACGCCCAAGTAAACCTGCTTTGTCCAACTCCCTTGATGTTAGATGTATAAGGACTACCACCATGACGCAGGCAACATTAGCTCCTCATTATCGCCTAGTTTTCACACTAATTTGACAAAGTGCACATGAAGGTACTGAGCTCAAGAGTCTCGGAAGGGAGTGGAGGGGGGGGGGGGGGGGGCGCGGGTGTTGAAGCGCGCAATGACTGGGCTAAAGCGAATCTTGGATGGTAGCCACCGGGCATACGGTGGAATTTGAAGAATTTTTCATCTTTGCGAGCAGGTATTTTTTACATTGTCCTCGGCATTAAACTGCCAGGCCCGTGATCATTCATTGGAACTGCGCCACAATCATTCAGTTGTGATCCATACATTGCATACTCCAAACACCCATTGAACTTGTTCTGGGACACACAGTGGGTGCAATGAGGGCAGCACGCCGTGGCACAAATTCATTGCGATGATTACAGTATTTCGAGTAGCTAATCATTTGCAGAATTTTTATTGGTCTACCGTATGCCCCGCAATCTTATCAGCTGCTTTCGAGCATAAGATTCGTATTATCAACTAGCTCATCTAGAATTGGGAAAAATGTCGAACTTCAGCCGTGACTATTAACAGCTTGGGTGGTTTTACATGTCATCTACACATTCGGCATACATTTCCAGGACAGATTCTTTTCCAACACTCAGGTAAAAAACCGACAACTGCTGGAAGGTCCATCTAAGGAAAAGAAACGTGCGAATAATAAAAAGCTCACCCTGAACTGCTCCGTGAGATCAACCATCAGCGGTTTTGAGTCCACTTTCAGTGATGTGCGATCACAGAATCTCCTCCATACCGTAACTGAATGCCATTCATTCAGCGCGAATGGTCCTCGGTACATGTCCTCAATTGCACCCTCACCGCAGTCATGCCTGAAATCGTATTCATGAAGATATCACTGTGATGATCTAAATCACTTAAGAAAAAGTGGTAGGCGATGCCCCATGGATTGTATATGAATATCGTGGTGGCACCGGTAAGGCACAAGATTGTGAGGGTGGTGTTGTTTGAAACTGCATACTTCCTACTTCACCTTCCTATACCAGTCAAACAACCAAAAAGGGCACTACCACTGCACAGTGTGGGCGATTTGAACCTCAATCTAATAAGACCACTTTGTTATTTAATGTCCTTTCGAAATTTCAAGACGAAAGCATAACACATATTTCTATAAAGGCCTCTGCAAAACATGTTTATCCTCGACGCTTATGAATCCAACAACGACATCCTCCTTTTCCTCATTTTCTAGAAGGTTTGTATTTAGAGTGCAGAGCGACCAATAATCCTACTATGCAAAGTACAGTCACCGGTGTAAATGTGCAAGTTTGTCACAGAACTTCGACTCCGCACTTTTTCTCAGAAGTAGGCTGAGAGTGGTATGTAGAAAGTTTGGGAATTGGTAAGAAAATTACGATCGGGTGATTTTGTTTCATATTAACCATTCGGCGATATATTACTATCGAATTTTAAAGCGTGTACCCTAATTATCAGTATGTTAAGGCGTTTAAGCCGCAGGGGGTTTATACTATGTAGAATTCTAGTCAGAATTATTAGGTGATAAAACAATGACTTCGGTTGATCTAATTTGATCGATACGTCCGATTGAATTGATTGAAGTTGATGCTTGTTCCATATGATTAGACGGGTATTGATATGAGCAACTAAGTGAGTACAACCAAAATGGAGCATTTTGTGGTAACATGGTCTATCATTCGATATCTGCTGAAATTGCGAGGTTTTAAGTAATACGGTAACGTAGCTAGCTGTTACACATACATAGGTCATTGATTTTCAATTGGAAAAAAGGAGTTCGAGGGCAGCGTAACTTCAATGATTCTCATACTCTCCCAAAGCAGGAGTTGTTTAGGGCTCATGCATTTATCGATATATTCAATATTTTATATAATGAGGTATGGGTCATCGAATGAGGAATACTATGAAAATATCGAAATTGCTAGGCCTTGCAATGATATGGATTTGGATTTAATGCTTTAAAAAGCCGTGTAAATCTAATATCTGGGTGGTAAATATCAATCAGCTAGTATCAGAAGTTCTGAGTTCTCCACACACGTGAAAGAAGTTCATGTAGTCGTAAAATAAATTAAGGAAATCGCGGAGAGCAGTGAGTAATGCGATTGAGTTTCTATTGCTATGAAGAATTTTTTTACTTGTTCCTTCTGAGCTAACAACACAACAACTCGCGGCCAATTTAAGGGGGATGTTCTTCCTACGAACACCATTCACAGTAAAACGGATACCACATTTCAACTCCGTATCGTACTGCGTAATTTTGTGATATACAGTCTATCCTCAAACTTTGTGGTACGGTTGATGTCATCCATGACCCTACCTAATTAGGTCAACTCGTTCCTCCAACTTTCATCATGCTTTCTCTTTCTCAATAAATTCAAGGCTCGATACTTGCTTGACCCAACTCGCGTTTGTTGATGGCAGCCGCCGATTTGGGCTGTCTAGTATGAGGTATATCATCGATCACGTTAAAGCTCCTGGCTTACGTCCAAGATCAGCAAGGAGTGTGAGTAAAATTGAGCCCTGATGCACACTCCGACTTCCTCCCTAGTTACCACAAATTCTCGAAAAAAACAAAACAACAGCTCCAGTCAGAACTCCCGAGGTGGGACCTTACCTCTGCTACAATTTTCATTATGTTTTCCCGTGTTCCATTCTTTTAGCTGATCGGAAAGGCAATGCGACCGCATATGTGTTCAGTACGCATCATGCGCTTGACTCCCCTTGTTCCGGTTTCCTTGCGCGAGCATTTTTCTCGCTCCCTGCTATACTACGCTTGTGCACAAATGAATGACTACTGCTTCGCAAGATGTCATTTTGACAATATCATGAAAAGAAATGAGTCATGTATGGAATATGGCAAAAATGGTCAAAAAATTGATTTATTCGGCGGAATTTGCGGTGCAATTTCCTCATTCCTTCGAATATCCCTTAATGCTCTGTTGGTTTGATATTGGATGTATTTCGAGAGGAATGGAGGATGAAGTGGGCGTCGATCAAGCCCGTCTGCGGGATGAGGATCCGCATCTAACTTCCGCATTTAGATACGTGAGCCGTGGTATATTGGATAATTGACAAACCTGGTATATACCAGCTGGCCGACCCCGGAAGGATGGAAAGACTGGTTGGCCTAGACGGATGTCGATCCGAGTTCGGACTTGTGACCATGGCATGCGTGGTAGCCCGCCACTTGCTACTACACCATCTCGGCCCGCTTACATTTTATAAAGAGGTAAATGATCCCTTCAGTGACCGCAAGTTTTCACGTCGTCTCAAAGAATTACTACAAAAGTCCAACCTCCTTGCGGTTCCGTGGGAATCTTATTATGGAAATATGATTGCATGATGTGAGCTTGTGAAAGAATTTCTTGCGCAAATTTCTTATTTGCATTTTTCGATCTAGATGAGTCATGATTCCGAAGTGGAACACGAGCGAGCTTCACTTCGCACCAACCTAGGGGACAGACCAAAAATGACTCTTCCCAATTACTTACCCTTCCCGTGGTTAAGGAACAGATGTGCACTTTCCTCATGACAAATGCTAAGTATGTATAGGGTGTCTGAATGTGAACAAGGACCATTGCTCTATCCGACTGGATTCCAAATGATTCCGCATTGGGGACTGACTCTTGATAGTGTCTTTCAGTGCAGGGGGGAACCGCGAGTTTCAGTGAATCGATTCCATTATGAAGCGGTTCATGCGATATCCCCATAGTAACAAATGGCGAATACGGTAGATTCGATTCAGTTCCACAAACTGGCTGAACTTTGGTTGAAGAGTTACTGGTAAATAGCAGTAGGATGAGAAATAACAACTATGGAGCACTGATATAATTGGCTTAATGTGAAAAACTGCCATGATGCCAACAAAGAACGACTTTCACGTCCCTCAGATTAAGCTTCTTGGTGTTGATCAATCCCGTTTCTCGGCACTCGACTTCCATTCAAAATCGTAGTGGCGATTTTATTGCATTCGTAGACTATGAAATGACTTGAGGTGGTCAACCGCTATATAAGAAATGGAGGCTTGGATGGCTAAGGCGGATATCAATCAGATATTCGATCCCCCCAACCCGTCCATGTGACAGTCTTACACCATCTACGCCCTTTTACTTGCTTGTTCACATGAATCATTCGCTAAATTGATGGCTATGCAGAGCCGCGTTGCCAGGATCTCGATGGTTATTTATACACCCTCAGCGAGGAAATTGGCAGTTTGTCACAACCATCACGTACAAAATATTAGCATTGAGCGTAACAGGGGAGAACACCTACTGCCACTCAAAGATGACTGCATTTCTTAGACATGCTCTCGTCGAAGCTGCCTACTATCTTACACCACACCTTCACGCCTGCATTGAAGCAATCCCACTTTGGGATGCACCCCGCGATCGACATCCATTCAGGATTGGGCTGGCTCTTATGGTAAGATACGGATGTAGACTATACAATGACTTCCCTTCCAGACGAGTTAAGGTCCCAGAATATGCAAGATTTTGCCTAAGTTGGTACCATTCCAAGGGTAGATCTTCACTCCTAATTGTACTAGCACCACACCATCTACACCCTATTTCTACAGTATCGCTGATTTTATTAAGTAAAGTATCCAAAATTAATTTGTTCGACCGCACTAATCCCGCCGTGTAATAAAGAGGGAGCTCCTACATCAATAAGTATGCATAGGTACTGAATAGACAAAACTGGGTAAGGGCCACGTTGTGAGAGAAACGTTATGGGTAGCATACTATCCAGAAATGTTTGCTTCAAAATGAACAAAATGGTAAACCTCCTGCAATAATGAGGTACTATAACGAGCAACGGCACAGAAGTGTACGCAGGGCACAAGAGAGGACTAGATGGGGTATAAAGGAAAGAAAGTAAGAAAAAATGGACTGTGCGGCAGTATTTGAAGTGCATTCAGCGAAAATGTCTTCTGCAGGCCAACGGTGAGAAATTGTCGTAACAAAAATGAGGAAATTAAGGGAAGGAAACTAAATTGAAGACGATGAAGAACAAGATGCATTAAACAGTAAAAGGAGCAAACAAAGGTTGAAAAAACCATTAATTTAGAAAAAACGTCATGAAGAGAAGCAGGGCAGTCAATGGTAGTTAGGGACCGAGGCATTATGAAAAAGACGAAAGTGAAGTAAAGAAGTCATGACGGGATGATTATTTCTCGATTTAGGGAAATGAAGAGCTGCACAACATTAGGCCTATTTAGCAAAAGTAAAATGTATCATGGAAAAGGGGACAAACTGGGGGCAAGAGCGGCTTTGACCAGCTGTGTTGATTGTGAAATTTTTTTTTAAAAGCGAGACATATTTTACTAGCAACAGTGGCGGTTATAAGCCGTTAATTACTAGAAACCAAAGCATGTCGCGGCAATGTAATGATCTAGATGTTGACCTTTGCTGTAGGAGGTTAACAAGTAAACAGAAACTGCATAGATTAATTTGGAATAATCTAGAAAAAATATATTGCGAAAGAGCGGACAGTGAAATAGGGGTGGGAAATGAAAAGGCCATTTGGGGCAAGTGGCCGGTGGCCAATCGTTGGCTTCGGTGGTACTCTCAAATTCCCAGAAATGTAAGAATCAGGAAAGAGTAAAGAGCAAAAGTCGTGAGTACACAATTTTTCCGGTCAAAGAAGCTCCCATCAACTACTCGGAAAGGAGCTACAAGTGCAGATGACCTCTCAGAAATCAGTCTTTAGATGTTTCCTCGTAATTCCTCACTAATCATATACATAGATTCAAAATAAGCATAGCTAGAAATTCCGCAGAACTGCTAATGATAGCGGTTTCTGTAAGTTATTTCTAGCTGGGAACGGAGGTCTATGACAGGAGGATACGCTCTAGTACTCAGAACAACAACTCTAACGAAGCTATCCACATAACATACGTGCACTAATACGATAGCTCAAAGTACTGCTCGGATACCTTCAAGAGGTTGATCTGTTCTAGTCGGTAATTTTTCGAACTTGAAAGATCTTGTCACATTCGGAATGTTCACAATCTCGGGATTTGAATCTGTACAAAGACCTCCCTTGGAGCCAAAGTTAACGACTAAAATGATATCCAAGATTATTCTCTAGGTTAGTCCCTCGCCCCCAATTATACCACAACGTAGGCCATTGTAGCGTCGAAAATGGCTTATTTATGTATGTAGGGTTAGATAGAGAGCAATAATTGCTGAGAATTCGACTCTTTGACGTTCGCACTTCATGAACAAAGCGATCGGTACTATGGGGACTGCTCTATTCAAAATAGTGCATACATGCTGAGAACTCCACTGGCCGATATCGTCTTTGAGACGGATCCAACGATTTTGCTCCGTGATATAACTTGGACGAGCTTGGAAGAGCAGGTGTTAGAAAAAATTAATGGAGATTAGCAGAAAATCGTAAAATAAGGGTGGCAGCAGTACAAAATTTTAATTGCATGCAGTTCCTAACCATGGCGACAATGGAAGGCAATTCGAGCAATTTTTGCTCACTGTAGTCAGTGTTTCATGCACTTGCACAAAATTTGAAATCTCATCCAAACACTTTTACACCAGTGCTTCATGAAACATTTGAGCAAAACCATCATTACTTCTACTTCTAGTGTGCTTTTTATCACTCCCTTTGCCACCGGTACACTATGTATTGTGCACCACTTTAACCCCATTTTTAACTTAAAGGTATCTCGAAATTTTCGTCTACCATGCATTAAGGAAAGCACTTTGATGCCGATCCCTTTTGCCGATAGCTTCCTGGGAGCCATCTTTTCCATCCCAGATACTAATTATCAATGGTTTCGAGTTAAGAATGGTTAGGATCATAGCAATTTTGAACCATTTTCACATAAACCTCGAAACCTGAGTAGAAGTCCTATGTGAAAAAATATCTCGAAAAGGGATTGCTTCATGCCTGAGTACTCTTGATCACGTACGCCAAGGCCTAGATAGGCTATTTTTACCGTTTTAAATTCTCTGATGCACTCCCATACCGAAATACAACTGGAGATTTCACCCTCAAGACAATCAGTTATCTCTTTGTCTGCTAATCCAAAACGAAAGACTGATGTTGCCCTTTTTCAACTCATGAATGAACAGCCGCACCTCACCCCTACTCCTCACACCTCTCCTTACACACCCTGCAGACACATGCATGCACTAGAAGTGCAACTTTTCTAATCATGAATTGAACATGAAGTTACATTCCCTGAAGACAGCTACATTTCCTCTATGAAGTGTCTTCAGCAAAAAGTCATGATATGGAATCCGACTTCTCCATTATGAAGTCCTATGAGCCTTCAGCTTTTTTACCTCATCTCAAGAATTCACACTGCCTGAGGAATCTCAAAGAAGGTGATAATGACGAATGAGGTAGTTCCAGCTAACCAGATTGCATACCCGTTATACGCGGGATTAGAAACTAGGATATCAGGGATTCACATGGGTCCAGGGATGCTACAGCGGACTGATAGTTACCAAATAGGTAGTGATAAGCGAAATTTTGCCAAAGGAAAACGAATGTTTGAGATAACCCAGCGAGACAAATTTTTTGAAAAAATAATTATTCTGTCCATTCACTCGTTTTCGGTGGCTCACTCTTACGCGTGAAGCAGATAACGTAGGCGTCACCCTACAGCGAGTTTATCAAAATGCGGGCGGTTGCACAGAGGACACCGAGCCTGAGTCATGTAACGACTTTTGTCGAAGAAGTCAATAGGTTAGGGAAGGAAGTCAATAAACTGATTGTTGAATTAGTTGCACAATTGTGATTTTATGGCGCAAGTTCGACAAACCAAACTGATTCTGAGATTCTAGAGAAGCTCGGGAAAGGCTTAAAGTAACAACAGAATTCCCTTGAAGTAATTCACTTTTAGTAACGAAACCAAAGTGGAAGTTCCAGTTTGCCAGGTTTTCAATGCGTTCACTCCACGGAGCAATTTATGAAGCCGAACCCATGTGCTTCCCAGATCGTTCAATACAGCCGTTATTTCTGTAAGGGAATCATAAGCACCCGCAGATTTACCACATCGTTAGGCTTCATTCAATACACTAGTATGTAGGTAAGTTCTAGCAACAAAACTTTCGTCGTAGGTCTCCGAAATCAAGCGACATTGAGTTTTTATGAGAACAATCTTTGTTTAAAATCAATATTTTCTCTAAGCCTATAATGTCATCCCTTACCAAATTATTTACTCGAAAGGTAACGTTGCCTAGAAAACTATAGGTACTGGTTGCAAAGGAACTGATGAAGTTCAGAGAAAAAATTTTCCTCAGTAAACCAGTATCTCGAGAAATTCTATCAAACTGTAAGAGATTCAATGTGTTACAGAGAGTATTGCTTCCAATAAAGGTTTCCAAAAAAAAAAGCGATTCTCTGGAAATGAACATTTTCGTTATTTTGTTCTTTCGCGAAAGCTAATGTAAACCTTTGCGAAATTTCTTTTGAAATGGTGGAACCTTTGATAAGGTTCCGTTTTCCACCAGCACAGTAGAAAGACTGGGATGCTCCGATGCAGTAACACGTAACCAGTCGTAATGCTTTTGCTATGCTTATAAAAGAAGCTCACCTTAAAATGATATTGGGACCGATGATGGCGACTGAAATGTAGTCATCAGCATTGAATTGACCAGCAAAGAAGAGGATCGCATCGCGTTTTTCCGACGTCCTAAAATTTGATGTTTTTAAATCGAATACACTGAACATGATACTATTATGCTTATGCATAATTACTGCGGATTTTTTCGCAGCTTTTTTTCTCTTGATAGAGTTTGAATATTGAGTTCGGGTGATCTGCTTGATTTTCTCTACAAAAATGTACTTAGACATCCGCATGTGCGCGAAGTTAGGTTCTAGTCTTCGAGAAAGGTTGAAAGGTGGCAGAACAACCAGCCAAGGCCAATCAAGAAAAAGGATCTGCTCCAAAATTTTTCATATTCACCAGCAGAAACTTCTATGAATTATCTCATCAACCGTTCGTTGAAAAACTGGTAGGGATTAGAAGCTACGACGATATGGATGACTTGATGGCTGAAGTCAAAGGGATCGCCTCCAAGGATCAAAACTTCTTTGCTTTTGGAATCCGACTATCAAGCCATTGGGAAGCAGTGCTTGACGAAAATGGTGGATAAGTTCCGGAGTAGTTATTTAAAATGTTTTTGTTCAGTATTTCTAACATTTCTTCGAACAAAATTGGTTGCAAAAAATCCGCAATAATTATGCATCAACCTAATAATTCCTGCAATTTAGAGGAACTCTGTTCCCCTGCATTTCAAGATGGATGTGCACTACAGCGTTTCACTAGAAAAGGAGCGTATAAATACGGTTTATTACATCGGCATAAGAAATGAGAAGAATATTCTACGGTATGTAAGGTGAGATTACGGTAGTATTGATTGCAGTGAAATAATTGTGATGATGATTTTAGTATAGTAATTAATCAGGTAATCAGTTTCTATCGTAGAAAAGAAAGAATAAATAGTTGCGGAAACTTCATAGAGGAAATAAATAAAAGGATATATCTGCCTCTGAAGCAATTTGAGAAATATTGATATGAGGCAGTGGAGCAGGAAAGGTTAAGGCGAGGGACAACCTTCATAGAAGACAACTTCGTAAATTATCCAGAAAAATAATTGCCCAATCTGGAGCATAATCTATAACGATTTATGGCACACTGTTTCTTCGGCGGAAATGAACAAACGTCATCAGTGGGATAGTTTTCATTGGGTAAGTTCGGTCTGTCAAGATAAAGTGGTTGCATAATGAAGTTAAATCGAGGCTTAGAAGCAACCACAGAAGTTCTTGATGGTGCTGACTATGGTTCTTGACCGATTTCGATTTCGTTGCCGTTCACTCTTAGGTTTTAGATTTGTATAATATTAGCTAAACCCACTGCACCCAACCCTTATCCGCACATCAGAGCCCAAATAAAACAACTTTCTTCAAGTCTTCAGTCGTCTTGTTTGTTTGCTGCCACAGGAAAAAACAACACCCTCTTCTCCATATGCATACATAAGTAACTAGTTTGATGGCCTACTAAACCCAATTCGGCATACGAAGGCTGTAGATGAACAGCAAATCTGAACGATTTGGTCTAACTCGAGTCGGTGAGAAATAATCGAAATGACCCAGTGTCGATACTATGTAATACTCAAAACGTGTGAAAAATGAAGAGAAAATTCGCCATATTATGTGGTAGAGGCTTCACTTATTACTCAGTCAAACTGAGGCTTTGAAGATGGAGGTGTTGAAAATGTGGATTTTCTCATCAGCTACGCGCTTGATTTCAATCACGCGTTGTTGCTAGAGTCTTGGGAGTTGCAAATGGATTAAGGGTTATCCTACCATGGTGGGGGGTCGAAGGTGAATCAGGCATTTTGCTACCAAAAACACCCCTATATATTATACCAGATATTTTTCACTTTTCAATCCCCCTTAAACAACCTAATACTTCTCGCTTCCTCTCCCTGACATTCCTAACATATCGTGACCTTTCAAGCCACAACTGCTTCCGTTGGACCTTGTTTGCTTTATCCGAACAATGTGTTATAATATTTGGGGATTGAAAGCGTTGTGTCGACGGTCATTTGATCCATCCTAGGAAGGAATGCTTAAAAGGTTTGGAAAAGGATGTTAAGCCGAGCTGTCGGGTCGTGCGAAATGCATATCTTATGCTTTGCTATACGGACTGGACGAAAGTTTTTTATTGACAATAAAAACTTTAAAAGAAAAACTTGGTGGTACATTTCACGTTGGTAATTTCTTCCCAAATTTTGTGATGGAGCAGTTTTTTCTTGGGTCTACTGTTCCCACGTAGTGTTCCTTCTAGAATCCTTGAAAGATACAGCAATACTGGCAAAATGAACCAGCATGCTAAGATTCAAGTATTAAGAATCGCAAATTTTTTTTGGAAAAAACGCAATCGAGGGTGGCAAAATGGCTGTAGCTAGTAAAAAGCGACCCAGTATTTCCAGGTCTCTATATAAATATTTGAGGAAAGACGACCTGAAAAGCATCCCAAACCTATCCGCCTGTGATGCTGTACTAATCCGCAGAATTTTGATCCCTTTGCTGCACCACGAGCATACGTCACTTTTCTTCAGCAAAACGTTGACGCTGGTCAATCAGGGTTGAGGGAATATTTTTTTCATTTTGAGCACCTGTCGTCTGTCTCTGTCTGTGTACAACAGATTTAGTATCAGAAAGTGTCTTTACAACTCCTGATACGTATGAATTCGTTCAGCAAGCTATCACTTGAAGTACATAGCACTCTTCAAGCGCACCTCGTCATACTTACAGAAAACTACAAGACCATTCATGGACACGGGGTAAGTGGGATAAAATGGTCAAGAGGGTACCCATCACTCCTTAGTTCACTCACAGGGTTCTTTTAGCTCACCCCTGGAACTCTATTCTGCCCTTTTTCTGACAATCTAGCTAAAAGGCGAGTACGTACATACATACAGCCGTCAGGGACTGATGGGATGAATGAAAAGCCTTTAATGGATTTACCTGAATTCGATAGTGATATTCGTTTCCAGGTATGTTGTGTCGGAAATTGGAAACTCGGCGTAATTATGACCGGTGAACGAAAGCGGAGCGGTATCCTTCTCTCGTGGCCATATAGTCCGATCACGTTTCAGTCGTGTGGTTCCGGCTGTGGCTTCAGTAGCCGTGTCTGTCTCTTGTGCATTGCTAATCACTGGAAATTGAAAAAGGATTTAGAGAGTTCTCGAGATTCCCCTTTTCCACTGTATGGGTACCTTTGCAACTAATTCCATTAGGCTGAAGAATGTGATCATTCCAACACCCGCACTCGTAGGTTTCTGGAGACAAAGTGATGCAAAGCTGTTCACAGAGTAAGGCGCTGTCAGAGCAGGAACCTGAAATTAGACATTATCACTTCCACGCCAAAATTGTAGTCCAGCTGTGTGCCCTAATGCCTATCCGAATTTGCCCTCGTTGGTGACAATTTATGCGCAATTGTCCCCATCGACGGGCCCAACCATATCTCATTAGGCGGTTCGAGTGATGCTTAGCCAATTAATCGTTGCCCAGACATCCGGAGAAGCGAGTTAATAGGATCACGACAGGAAGAGCACAGAGAGAGGGAAAATGAAAGAGGAGCAGAGTGGGGATCTATGAAGGTTTGAGTCAACAATGATTCCAGAGACGGGAATGTCGTGCTTCAAAATCTGTTTCACAGTGCTTAGGTGGATTTCGAGTAAAACTGAAGGTAACGAGAGGACGGAAAGAGAACGGTATGAGCTCCTAGGACCCACATTAATCACAGGCGCTAAGAAAAGTAAGTTCCCCAAATTTTTTTCTCCAAATATGGAAGTTAGAAGTTTGACCAAGTAATCCTATAACTCGTACAGATTATAGCGGAGTGTTCGGAACCTGGAAATGGGTTGTGCTAAAATCAAGAGTGGTAGAAGCCTAAAAGACATGACTGTGTCGAAATGATGTTTTCTGATATTTGTTCCCAGCATCAAGAAGGTGCGTGACCAGAAACCTTCCCTCCAGCACGGAACATGCCTAAGTCAGCATTTCCGAATACTATCGACCCGCTTTTAGGAATCTTGATGAAATTCGATTTAATTCGGGATCTGCAGTCATGATGTCGTTCTCATTTCATTCCAGAGCTATCTACTCTATCATTAGGTTGTACAGCAACTCGACGCTACAAATGACTGCGGAGTACATATTAAGTAATGAAAGCTGCTCTCTTATTTTTTCATCAGAAACCCGTCAATAAATTACTTTATTGCGCCAATGTTATAAATAGTAACCTAAGCCGTACTCTTTACTCGAATGAGCCCACAGTGACTCAGATGAAACTCGACACTATGTACTACTCACAGCTATAGTTAGTTGTCCGTAAGTTTTTCTTGGTAGAAAGACGTAGACTCTTTGTTGACATTGAAGGACCTCTCTGGATCGGTAATCCGACCTTTTTTAAAGATTTTCTTTCTAGAAAAGTCACTCCCCACAGGAAACTTCATGTTTTGAGAGTTGTTGATTTCTCTAATGTTAAACTTCTTCCACTTTTGACGTCAAGCCATATGTTCCGTGGGAAGTCATCATCGAAACAGCTTCACTCTTCCATATCTGGACAATTTAGGAAAAAAACGTTTTTTATGCGTTTTCACGAAGTCTTGATGGTGTTGGTCCCGTTGCTGATGTGGGGTACCCGTCGAAGACTTCTCCACCTACATACTCTTTACCAGAGATATTTAAGCTGGTTCAACTGATTGGAAGATATGTGGGGATTGAACTGAATTTGAAATGATTCTACAGACACAGCTATGAATTCTTGGTACTCTGGTTTTCAATGCGGGTAGCGCTTTTTCGAACATACCCATTAATATTGCCAGTGCTCTGCTGAAAAGGAAGTCGTTTTAGTGGCCTCGTGATCATCACCTCATCCATCAGTCTGCTGTAAGTATGCCGCTGGGATTCTATTCACTGCAACGGAGAGCTAACAAATACTACGAGTCGATCTATTTCCGCACAGAATCACGGAAACACGTCCCTCGTCCCTATGAACGGAATCCTTCTATTCACTGAAAATCCCATTACATCCCCGAAAGCACAACAAAGCTAAACGAAGAAGCACGACTGATTTTCAGCTCCCTATTTTGCTTTTCTGAAACACGTGTTCAGCCTGGATTCACCCTTTACCCTTCCCAGTAATTTCCATCTTTTCGATGGGTGCTAATGGTTTTTTTAGCCGCAATTCCCCGGTATTCACGGCTGTGTCCCCCCTCATCAAAAGGAGGGTATTAGGGACGCCCGTGACTTAGGCCGTCGGCTGCGCGCCATAAAAACGTCGAGCCTGGTTACTTTTTAGTAAACTCTGCTACGACATACGTCCGCAAAATTGTCACGGTTTGAGTGTACTCTCCTCACGTTGGGATACTGTGAGAGACCTCTTGAGATGATGACGAAGGCAATTGCGTCGCATTTTTAGCTGGAGCCGATTGGCACAAGGACAGTGAGGCCTAGCAGATGTCAGCTGCAGTTGTACGAACAACACCAAGGGATCTTATTTCCTTTGAAGGGATGGCATTCTGGAGTCACCTGATAGGTGTCATATTTCGACCAGAAAGGTGACTACCTACGTGCTCGCCTATCGATTCATGTCCAACATCCACGAAGGCTGTCAAGCGGATGTAAACACAGATGTCTACAGCCCTACGTATTCCCTTCTATCCTTAGTTGCGAAGGGCAGTGTGAACAGTTGTGTCCTCGTTTCGCACTCTGGTACGGATGATCCCAAGCGATCGCTGCTGTTGAACTGAACTATGCTTCCACCAAACATCACGAGCATCAACCCTTGACTCAGCTATAACTTATGCTCTCATTTACATATTGTTGCTTGACCATTAGCGATCCCCTCAGCGTTGGATTAGCGGAGGTTAAGCCCCCAAGGACCTTGGAATCGGCAAAAAAGGCTTTGTATCGTCACACTATAGATAGTGAAGAAAGAAGCTCACCATTGTGACGAAATAACCCCATGGTAGTCTAGCAAAACACCTTCATTTTAGTGCACCCTAGTATGTTATGTACCCCTATCCAGAGGCAACGCGAGGGAGTAGTTGAATTTGCGTGTCTAATGGATTCCGGTATAGTTTAATTTTACGAGCGCTTGCTGCCCTTGTTCCCTGGGGAATGGTTCCAACTTCGAGGATTTTCTAAATGAGTTGAAGATCGGAAGCAAGCAGTATGGAGGAAGAAGACGGAAATTACTCGTGAACTTATTTAGGCCGAGATGTCCACTGCAAGTTCCGCAGCGAAGGACATCTGATAGATAATTCGATTCGGACTCGCGACGTTTCATGAGTGTGGAAATGCAAAGTTCCGATCCGCGGCATTAAATCGTTTCTGGTTGCCGCCAAGCAATTACTTCGGCAAGCGACGGAAACCTCACTCACAGAGTGAATTCAGCTGAAAAACACTGTCGCTAATGAGGGACACGAAGCCGTTTACGAACACTGCTGCACATGGGAACGGCTTCTGAAGACGCCATAGGAATTGTTCTGCTCTGTTGCGGAACCAACAAGTGGACAAAAACAGCTGTTCAAGCCAAAATGTGACTTATTGGTTAGTGCTAGGTCATTGCTCTACATAGTTTGGATATGTCGTACAAGGGTGAAGACCCATAGCAGAATCACCCGAGTTTTCTTCCTGGATAACCTCAAGTGGTGTAATTCCAAACAAACACTTCTTCCCATGTGCTCCCTCTAACTTCTTTTTCATAAGTTAGATTAGTTGAGGAATTATAGATTCCCAACGTGGGCGAATTTAGCGGTTACATGAGAGTGCTGGCAGAGGCTTTCGGAGAAAAAGAATTAATTAAAGTACATGGCAACGTCAAAGAAGGTTATATGAGACTGCTGATATTGATTCCTCAAGTGCAAAAAAGAAAGGAAATAGAAATGAAGGAAACCAGGTTTCTTCACTTGTTTCATCGCAAGTTTCGAAGAGCGGCGATCTCTTTTTGACATAAGGAACCATTAACCATCTTACTGTCAGAATGAATTTTTCCGGCTTCTTCTGTAATGAAACATTTCGAAAAAAGTTGATCATAACCCTGAAACCCTCCCCTAAGAGTTTGTTCTCCTAGAATATTACGAGCCTCTCTTCAGGACCGCCTAAAGCGGAGGATGAAATCCCAATGTGTCATAAAAGCAAAGATTTTCAAGTCTCAGGGATATGGAGATCTGCGACAGCCCGACGGCGACTAATCCTCGTAATCTCATCCCTCATATGGCATCGTTTCGTCGCGTTATTAATTATTATAGAGCAATATGGCACAGACTACGCCCTGTCACATTGCTTGATCCGTTCCAATAATAATCCCTATTGTCCAACGATGATTGAACCGGTTACTTTTCTGAACGATTTTTAATCTACCCGAGAGGGATCGGCCTGGCCCCTGTGGAACAATAACTACCAAATGTACCATCTTGTAAGAAAAAGGGTTCAGCTATCCAGCTCTCGCATCAAGGAACTCTCTTAATCAATTATCATAAGTTGGATAAGTTCTAAGCATTACTCCAGCTTCGGGCGAGAAAAGGCCCGTTCCCTTACTTCCAAGGGATATTTCTTATAATATTCCACCCCAGTTAGACAAAAGACATTCATGGCCTACTGCTGGTAAGCCTCTTAAGAATGGAGCGACTTTTTGATTGCTTAAAATGTTCAGCAGACTGTTGTGCCTCTAGCTAGAGAAGTTAGGTGTCGATGGTTCAGTCAGGCTTTTTTACGCTTTTGCGCAAGTGGACTGAGCGTGCAGACTGAATGTGGTAATTTAATTAAGCATGTAGACGTAGCAAAGTAGCAGTTTCGAGATGGAAAAAGTCAACTGTTTCATTGGAACGTCTGCACAGATAGAGTCCGAAGGCACGATTATTTTCGTCAATTCAGCATTATTTTCAAGAGCTTTTCTTCATAGGAGATGGTTGACGCTGTGGCCACCCGGGCTGAATCCCATGTCATCAAGCCTCAACGGTACGATAACAAATTGCAGCGATTAGCTGAATAGTGGACTCGCCAGGGTCCTCTAAACAACGGTTATTGGAATGAGCATCAGAAACCCTAACGATCCCCTTCTGCTGCCAGTGGTCAGAACTTCAAACACAGCCCAAAGGTGAGTTCCTACAACAACAAAACATTTAGTAAAATTTTGTAGTTGAAGGTGCAAGCTGTATGGAATTCTAGCGACATCGGAAATAGAACCCCTTGCATTTTCTGTTGTGTTGACTAGGTTTGTGCAGTGCATTTCCATAATTGCCGGCGGAGCGCATTAGCAGCGCGTTACTTCCACTGATCGACCTTCAACAATCGAACAACCGGATGGTCTTCCGTGTACAGAAACAAAAGTGGAAGCAGCCACCCACTTGTGTGGCCGTGGACGACCACACGTCGTCAGTAGTCACTCAACAATTGTACTCGCTAAAACAGTATAGCAGACCATTTCAATGTTCGTTTGGAACATTGACACCGGTTCGTCGAATTAGGCAGTTGACGAGAGGACGATGACCGCAATTTTCGACGAATTAGTCGAACAAAATGTGATGTGAACGGAGAGAGTAATGTGGAGTGTTGTACTGGACATGGTAGACT